TCTCACCTGTTGTCAAAATGACTTCTATTCGAATAATCTTGAGCTTAGCAGCTAGCCTAGATCTTGAAGTGGAGCAGTTGGATGTGAAAACTGTATTTTTTCATGGAGATTTGGAAGAGGAGATTTATATGGAGCAACCAGAAGGATTTGAAGTAGCTGAAAGGAAACACATTGTGTGCAAACTGAATAAGAGTCTTTATGGGTTGAAGTAGGCACCAAGGTAGTGGTACAAGAAGCTTGACTCATTCATGAAAAGTCAAACTTACACAAAGACATATTCTGATCCATATGTATACTTCAAAAGATTTTCTGAAAATAATTTTATTATATTGTTGTTGTATGTGGATGTCATGTTAATTGTAGGAAAAGACAAGGGGTTGATCGCAAAGTTGAAGGGAGATCTGTCCAAGTCATTTGATATGAAGGATTTGGGCCCAACACAACAAATTTTAGGTATGAAAATAGTTCGAGAACGAACAAGCTTAAAGTTTTGGCAGTCTCAAGAGAAGTACATTGAACGTATATTGGAATGCTTCAACATGAAGAATGCCAAGCCAGTCAGCACACCTCTTGCTAGCCATCTAAAGTTGAGCAAGAAGATGTGTTCTACAATAGTGGAGGAGAAAGGGAACATGGCTAGAGTTCTTTATTCTTCTGCAGTCAGAAGCTTGATGTATGCAATGGTATGCACTAGATTTGATATTGCTCACGCAGTTAGTGTTGTCAGTAAGTTTCTTGAAAATCCTAGAAAAGAATACTAGGAAGCAGTCAAGTGGATACTCAGGTACCTGAGAGGTACCACGGGAGATTGTTTGAGCTTTGGAAGATCTGATCCAATCTTGAAGGGTTATACAGATGCTGATATGGCAGGTGACATTGATAACAGAAAATCCACTACTGGATATTTGTTCACACTTTCAGGGGGAGCTATATCATGGCAGTCGAAGTTGCAGAAGTGTGTCGCACTCTCTACAACTGAAGCGGAGTATATTGCCGCTACTGAAGCTGGCTAGGAGATGATATAGTTGAAATGGTTCCTTCAAGAGCTTGGATTGCATCAGAAATAGTATGTCGTCTATTGTGACAGTCAAAGTATAATAGACCTTAGCAAGAACTCTATGTACTATGCAAGGACCAAACACATCGACGTGAGATATCACTGGATTCGAGAAATAGTAGAGAATGAATCTCTAAAAGTCTTGAAGATCCATACAAGTGAGAATCCTTCAAATATGCTGACCAAGGTGGTACTAAGAGATAAGTTTCAGCTATGCAAAGAACTTGTCGGCATGAACTCTCTATGAAAAATTGGAGTTACCTCCTTCAGGTGCATGGGACTGGAGGGGGAGATTTGATGGGTCCAACCCATGTGTAAGGAAGACATCTTCCTTTTGGCTTTGAAATGTCAAGCCAACTAAAGGAATAGTAAGGAAAATTTTATGGCAAATATTTCTTTGGTTTCACATTGAATATTTGACTCTTGCCAAACTCATGAGATCATTGATGACATCAATGAAGCAATCCTAAACACTATAAATAGGTGTCTTAGTCTCATTGTAAAATACACCAACAAAGAGAGAAAGAAAGAGTGAGGCATCACAAACAAGGTATAAGAAAATAGTCTGTGAGAAAAATAGAGACCGAGCGATATTGTAGTGAGGTGGGAATATCAAAAGAGGGTTATTTCCTTTGAGTGTTGTAGTGGTCTTTGGAGTATTTTACTTGGACCTTCAAAGTGTAAAATTCTTTGCTATAGTGATATCAGTTGCTCCTCTCAAGGCCGTGGTTTTTCCCTTATTCAAAAGGGTTTTCCACGTAAAAATCTTGGTGTCGTTATCACTCTTGTATTCTTGTTAATTACCGAATCTCGGCGTTATATTATTATTCCGTTTTTAATACCGTAACTATTATTTCTGTGGGGGGTTTATTCCCAACAAGTCAAATACTGCTACTTAAGTAAAATGAAATGGATAAAGTATGTACCATCTTTCTATATAGAGTTTCAAAATATTTAAATTTTTGAATATGGTATCCGACGCCATTTTTGGGATCAACTAATTCGAATTTATCGAAAATAAAATTTCAGTTTTGGGGGTAATCCATCAAAGGTTATAGTGGAAGTGTATGTACTTCATCTTTAAGCACATATTTCAAATTCGAGCCCTCATAATAGAATTGCAGCTTTGGTTGCTCCTTATTTTTTAAACTAAGAGCGTACTATATACTTTCTCTTTCAATTTAAATAACACACTTTACTTATTAATCTGTTTTAAAAAAATGATAAATTTTTATATTTAGAAATAATTTAACTTTAAACCTTTTTACTTTACCCATTTTACAAGCTTTTAAGTCATACAAATATCATGATTCTATAAAGTTTTTGCTCCTTAAACTTTTAAAATCACATATTTTAAAAGTTTATTTTTTTTTCTTAAACTTTGTGTGAAGTCAAATTATAACATCTAAATTGAAACGAACGGAATTTTACTGTTAATACAGAAATAGATGGCAGCGTGGTAGGGGTAAACCTGAAATGGACAAGGGGATCTTTGGACGGTTAGTAGGGGCCTCTAAACAGGAGAAATTGGATGACGGATGTGACGGATTCTTGAATTGGCAGACTTGGAAAAGATTGAATACTGAAAAACCTTTCATTTTTTCTGTGGTTAAACTTTTTGCTTTATATCGCAAGGCATCAGGGGGTCACTTTTTTCAATTCTATATTACGTGCGCGTGCGCCTGAATTTTCCTTTTGCATGACAAAGAGCGACATATATCGCATATTTTGATTGTCANTAGATATATAGCATCTACGCTAAATGTTAAGTTTTTGCTAAAAGTACTTGTCATTTTTAGACACTTATAGTAAGCTTGTCATCTCCCCCAAACAACAAAAGGCTACCTAAGGAGGCCTACAGTTGCAGGGTGATTATATGTAAGGCAGTAATACAAACTAAGGAGTACTGAGAAAACGACTGATAATTAAAGCATTTATTCGATAATTATAGCATTTATTCAAAAGGAAAAGAAAAGAATAAAGGGGGACAAGAATTACATTGTCTCTGCTAGGAATAGTTGCCTGGGTTCACATTCTCGGTTCTTCTCACATGGAAGAACAATTTTTTCCGCACCCTATGGGAGTAGGCTACTGTTTAGGTTACTGTTATAGCTTAGCCCAGGACAATATGGCATGTACAATATATATTTAATGAAGATGCCAAAATGTTCACAAGCTAGCAATATCCACAGATTAGTATAGTAAAGGATCCCTATTAGAGAAGTCAGAATATTCAGACTTTTTTTAAAAGTATGCCTGAATTGCTTCTAAGATTAAAATGTCTGAATCTGAATACAAATCTGAATATCAAGATGCATATAAAGATTAAGATATTTGAATCTGAATACGCATCTGAATATTAAAATGTGTATTAAGATCTGAATACTAAATGATTAATATTGTTTAACTTTTAATATCTAAATATATAAAATTTATCTTTATTTAAAAATTAATAAACATTAAATTTAAATAAAATATTAATTAAATATTATATTAATAAAATATATAGTTTTTTTAAAATATGATAGTTGCCGGTGGTAATGGCTAACTGTGCTACTTGTGAACGCCGATTAGAGGCGGTGGTTGGTGGTAGTTTTGGTTGATGGTGGTGGTTCAGAGTAGTAGTTAGTGGTGATTGGTATCGGTATCGATAATAATTGAGGATGGTAATGGTGGATGGTGATAGTTAATAATGGCGGGTAGTGGTGGTAGTTATGATTGAGGAAGGTGGTGGTGGGTGGTGTAGTTTATAATGATGGGCAGTGCTGACTATGGTTGTTGATGGTGATGGGGTGGTTAGTTATGGTAGTTGAGGTGGATGAGTGTTGGTTGTGGTTGAGAATGATGGTGGTGGGAGTGGTGGAGATGGTGGGTGGTGGTAGTCGATAATGATGACGGTTATGATTGAGGATGATAGTGGTGGTGGTGGCTGAGTATGGTGGCGGCGGATGGCATGGTGGTAGTTGATAATGGTAGGCGGTGGCGGCAGTTAATAATAAATATGGATAATAGCATCTACTGAAATTAAGTCGCATTATAGATCTTAATCATATAGACCTATTCAGACCCATTAAGTGGTTGTGAAATAAAAAAACTAAACACACTTAATAATTAAGATTTGAATAATTAAGATTCAGACTTTAAAAACAACATACTTAATATCTGAAATCTAAATGATCAAAATTTAGACCTCCATTAAGTATAAACAAATGAGGCCTAAGTAACTTGCATGCCCATATGGTCGGATACTTTTTTGTGGGAAAATTATATTGAGCATGTAAGGTTAATTCTTTTTAATATATATATAGTGGATGCTGTAAGTTTTATATGCCGAAACAAATGCCCCAGCCGCGCTTGATTAATTAATTAGTTACTATCTTAAAAATTGAGATTGGCAGATGTTTAAAATAAGAACCAAATTATATCCTTTTCATACTCATTTCGAACAAGATTCTGACGGCGAGTCTTGAAGTTTTACTAGCTATGGGCCACTGCAGTATTCCTTGGAAGATAACTAGCTAGGACGCCCTCTCCAGTCCCTAGTTAATTAAAGCAAAACCAATCACAAAAATCCCCGCCCTCTTTCTTCTTCCAAATTACTCTATTTTTCAGGTTAGCATATCATACTTTGTCACAAATAATTAGGAGTATGCCAACTTAACATAATAGCGTAAGACAGTGGCGGATTTATATGGACATTTGTGGGTGCTCAATACTTTTAATAATATTCAGTAATTTTGCATAGACAATTATAAATATATTTAGATAAATATTGAGCGAGCATACTAAACTCCTTTTTTCCTCTTCTTTTGAATTTTTACGGGCGAGCACCTATGACTTTAAAATACTGGATCCGACACTGGCGTAAGAAATCTATACGTCAGCACTCAAGCTCTCTATAAAATGTCCAAAAGGATATTACATTGCCATATAAAACTTTGGAACAACACCCAAGTCACCACCATATATATATAGTTTAGTTTTTGTACAAATACAAATGCACTTAATTGCCCATTCAAAAGGGAGCAATTAGCAATATTGATTAACAAAGTAATAGCTATAGAAATAACACAAAATAAGTACGTACTAATCATTATATTGGATGACATTTGATCACATGCTACTGTCATCATCTGCCTCAGGGTTGTGATTACCTGAAATGGTATTACTGTTCCATGTATTAGGAGAATAATTTGGAATACAAAACCCATAAGTTTGATCAAATCCAGTAGCTGTTCCATCAACAGGACCCATTCTTCTCCCATAATTCAAATTACTCCTTTGTTGATTTACCATTTGATTATTCATAGCTCCTCCAGACGGATTATTATATGCATGTGAATTATTAACTTCGCGATTGGTATATCGCATTAAATCAGCATTAGTGGCATCAAGTTCTTTCTGAAGGCGAATAACTTGTCTTTGTAAAACTGAAATTGCTCCAACACAACCATAAACTGGATCTTTCATACGTGCTTCGGCTTCATAAGCAAGTGAATTGACTGCATCTTCTCTCTGGTGAGGTTGGATTTCATTTAGGAGTTTACTTACGTTGCTCGCACCAAATATTTTGTGTACGTTGGCGAATTTTGTTGGCTCTTCTGGAGGAAAATAGGGAGCGAAGATGCAACCTTGAAGGAATATATATAATTTACTCAGAACAAATAAATCTCTTAATTAATGTTCTCCATAATTTTCTACGCAAAAAAAATAGCTAGCAATACTACTATATAGAAACATGCGCTAACTAGAAACTAAAAAACATACTCCTATATAATTTTGTTACTAATCCTAACTAGGCATTAATTGAATAAACTAGCAAATATCAAATCCTAGGACCTAAACAATTTTGATTTCCTACTACAATTTTGAATTATTCTTTAACAAACCTGGCAAGCATTTTCGTCGCAAGAATTTGCAAGCTGCACATGGAGGGTTGGAGTAGCTGCTGGAAGAAGCCATCTTGCTTGCTTAGAGACACTTTAATTTCCTGCTAACAGTCTAAAAGTTCTTTACACTATCAGATCATTTAAAATCTATTGCAGGTAACTACGTATATTAAATGGTATCGGTACGTCAAAAAGTAAGAGAAGCTAAGTAACCTTCTATATGTTGCAGATTAAAAATTATATTGATAGTGCAAAATTGTTAGTATTATATTGTGTTTACAACTTGACTAATTCAATGAAATAACCCCTTTTTCCTACAATATTTTGATTTTAAGACGCTAATGTACTTGCAGAATCACAGCATAAGCATATAATATTTTGATTTTAAGACGCTAATGTACTTGCAGAAATGTACTTGCAGAATCACAGCATAAGCATATAATATAAAAGTGTAGCAAAATTACATGTCAATTGTCATTATGTCAATCAACAAATTGTTGGTCTAAAGAAATACTAACAAAGCAGTCCTCTAGTGATTTTCCTAGCACCCAACTTCATGTATATATGTTTGAAACGGACCCGTTCTACATGTTATCTGCAGGTTATCTAGTTTGTAACGTTGAATCCAAATAAATAATTAACAAAATCATATCACCTAAAGTTTATGTGTGTCTATATGTGTGTGTGTGTGTATAAGGCATTTTTGTTTTTGTTTTTTTTTAAAAAAAAAGTCATTCCCGAAACCTAAATATAGAGTAAATTTTTTATTGTTTTGGAGTTTTTTGCTACTATATGGTGTCATGCTTAGTAAACTTGATAGCTCAGTCACTAAATTTTCAACATTATCAAACTATTGGCAAGAATAATCAGTGCCCGTGAGTTAATTTCCACCTGCTCTACCAAATTAAACAGTGGGACATGTAAACAATTACTGTTCTGTCTAAGTCTTTACTCTATGATTCTCGGTAAAAGCCTTAAAAGGGTATCCGACATTCCACCTGCAAAGTTCCGCGAAACAAGACTTTTACATCAAATTAACCAACGTGAAATGAAAATCTAGCTAAAAGTCGCACTAGTCTATGTTTCATATATAATTGTCCTTGATTCAAACATATGTCAATATATACACATCCTTGAAAACATATCAAGAAACTGTTACTGCTAATAGATCCACATGTGGAAGGGAATTTATAGGGCTGACATCCCTATAAATTGAGAGGAAAAGAGAAAAATAAAAAGGGTTTCTTTTCAAAGAAGAGTAGAAATTAAATTAAGCTAGCTAGCTAGTGAAGATACCTTAAATTTTCCTTTTGGTAGTGCAAAGTCTTTCAAGCTATGTACCTTGATTCTTGTAGCATCAAAAATATGGTAGCCATATAGGAGCTTTAATAGAAATAAAAATGAATTAAAAGGGGATTGAAACTATTTTGTAGTTAGATTTTGAGAGAGAAACCCTAGAAGCAGGAGACAGAAAGTAAGTACTAAAAATGCAGATACATAATGAGAGAGAGAGAGAGAAGAAGAAGAAGAAGAGAGAAGACAATAAGCATTTAATGGAGATATTGGAAGCGGAAAGCAAAAGGGACCAAAGGACTAAGCACAATAAATAAGGGCTGATCAGATCAATAATTAAAACAACCGATGGTGACTGTGTGAAGTTTACACCAAACTTTCATAATTATGTCCAGCCAAATTGTTGCTTGGTGGTTTTGTCCTCCTAAATGTATCATACTTGACTCACGTTCTGTATTTACTATGTCCAAATCAAGTAAAAATAACACTGTATTTCAATGTCATAGTGCTCATTCCATTGGCGCTTAGGTAAAAGCAAAAGGATGATTTAAGTATAGTCACGAATATTATAAAGAAATTTTACATTATTAGTAACTATATAAAATGGTTGTAACATGTTACTTGTATTTGTTTTATGACATCAATCGATGTTTATTTTGGGCAGTTAAATCTACTCATATTAATTTATTTATTTTTTTATATTGTTAGTGTATAAGTTTAAATCTCAAATATAAAATTTACGGAACTGATATAAAAAAAAATATTTACACAATCAGTTATCTATTATAAATATTAATGGATAACTTAGATGAATTGGTAACTAACTTGTTAATATAAAGATACAAAAAGGTTATAACAGGTCATTTATGTATAACTTGAATTCTTTATTATATTATTATAAATATAAACCGAAAAGTGAAACAACATGTCAGAAACGCTTTGACCTCTTCTTAAAAGTCACAGTTTTAAAGTTAGAGCCCGTTTGGACACAAGACTGTTTTCATTTTTTTTCGAAATTTTTTTATATTTTTTCGAAATCATTGTTTGGCCATAAAATTTTCAATTTTCACTTGAAAATAAATTTTAAAAATTTTTGAAAAATTTGAAAATTTTCAAAAAGCTATTTTTTAAAATTTCACTCAGATCACTCACAAAACATCAAAAGCAACCCAAAATTATATTCATGTCCAAACACAACTCTAATTTTCAAATACCATTTTCACTTGAAAAGTTTTTTCACATTTTTTTAGAATTTTACAATTCTTATGTCCAAACACCCACTTGAGCCCGTTTGGACATAAGAAAATTTTTACTTTTTTCGAAAATTTTTTACTTTTTTCCGAAATCAGTGTTTGGCCATAAATTTTTTAATTTTCACTTGAAAATGAATTTTAAAAATTTTAAAAACTCCAAAATGCTATTTTTCAAAATTTTCACTCAGATTACTTACAAACCTTCAAAAACAACCCAAAATTATATTCATGTCCAAACACAACTCTAATTTTCAAATACCATTTTCACTTGAAAATTTTTTTACTTTTTTTAGGAATTTTATAATTCTTAGGAATTTTATAATTCTTATGTCTAAACGCCGTCAATTATTCCATGCTGTTCTTTTTAATATTTATTTTATTGATTTTCCCTCTCTTTTTAATTTGCTTCATTGTAGTTTTTTGTTGTAGGAGTTCTTTGCATAATCGTAGTATTTATGGGAACACAACAAGATCCACTAGTTGATTTTTTCATTGCCCTATTTTATAGTAAAAATAGCATGGGCTAACCAGTTTTCGGATTGGTAATTCAAAAATAGCCAGTGTTTGTAAAGTCATTGAAAAATAACTGCTATTTTGCTGCAACACGGACTGGTCCAGCATAATATACTGGAGATTGGTTCACCTGTGTATGAACTTCCAGCATATTATGCTAGACCGATATATTATACTGGAACTCTAGTATAATATGCTGGAGTTCCAGTATATTATACTGAAGTATACTGGAACTCCAGTATATTATGCTGGAATATCTTTTGGATTTTGAACAATATTTTCGTTCAAATTTATCTTTATATGAAAAGTGGCCAAATTTCAATTACTTTTAAAATTGTAACTATTTTTTAATTACCACATGTAAATCTCTATTTTTGAATTTCTTGTTGTTTACTGATTTACATAGTAAAAGCGATAACTTCCCACTTTAATCACCCATTTTCCACTCCACGCCAGTTTATTATAAGACGCCGATGGTCATACTTGGACATTTCGCACCTCATATTGACGGTTGCTTCTTTCGCCACTCAAGTTATTTTTTTGGCAAGTCCTTTAATTTCATGGTATTGTGCATGTGAAACCCCTAGTAACTATTACTTTAGATTGTTACTTAATTAACCATCTTGCTCATGTCTGAAAGTACTACAATATTTAACTGCATGGCTTATTCGATAGTGGCATCGAACAAATGTTTAATTTTTAGTAATTGTACATTACTTATACATATGGAGAGACCGGTTTTGTGGCTATTATAAATGTTCTTTTAGTTATATGATCATTTTTCACATGAAATCTATAAAAATTTAACACGGGAGATTGATAAATAATACTGGATTCACAAAAGATTTTTGCAGGATCAATTTTTCCATTGAAATTGTAACTTGGCAGATCACATTAGACATATTTAGGTTTTGACTCGCACAGGAAGAAAAAAAAGATAAAAAACACTCTTCATGTCAATATTAAATATGAAAAAAGTTAGACACCTTGTCTTTTCTTAAAAATAGAAAAAATTGGCTGCACGTTCTATGGTGTATTCAAACTTTACATACAACTAGTATTAGTATCTGCACGATGCGCAGACATAAACCATGTCAAATTATGATTTGGGTTATTTGGATTATTTGCAAATAACCTTAAAATTAAACATTCGATATAGAAATTATAAATGATTATTAGATATTAATTAAGAAGCAGGACATGAAGCCATTTTCCAAATCTCATAGTGGATAACCTTTTTGTTATATCCGTAATAACCCAACCCCTTATTTTTGGCATTTGTATTTTGCTTTACGGTCAATATTAAAGAATACTAAACATATAATGTTGTGATCTGTCTAGTTTGAGCACATTAAATTATATTATTTTAAAAAAAAAATTATTACTACCACTTTGTTTTTCATCTCAAATTCAAATAAGTCTTATCCTTCTATAATTTTAGATCAATTTTTTTTTCTCTTTGTTGTTCCTTGCTTATAGTTTTTGCATTATTTATTACGTAATATTGTTATACCTTAGAGTGATCTTTTATTAGCTTATGAATTGACATAATGTCTTTGCTTATTACCCTTTTAATAATAATCAATAAATATAATTTTTTTATTCTTGAAATTAAATATATTTTTACACTATTATCCTCATACTCGAAAATCTTTTATCATTTAAATCTACCAATAATATTTTTGAATATTATTAATAATTTAATCTATTTATTTTTAAATAAATTTAAAATATAAGTATCCTCGCACTATCTCTATTTTCCTATTTATACATTCTCTTCTCTACTAAAAAATTTTAATTAGCTTTTTACATAAATATTATAACTATACTCAAAATAATATCACATTTTATTTTAAAATATAACTTTGAATTAGTCTAAAAATTAATACATAAGCTCTTTTATAATGTTTCATATCTATTGAAATGTCTTATAATTATTTTTTGTATTACATATAATTAAAAAAATTCTCTTTAGTTTTAAGATACAAATTTGGCTTTTTCATTAGTAAAATTACCTATATGAGATATTTATTTAGTATACTTAAATTTTTAATATGGTATCAATTTTTATTTTTCATTTATCTAGCAAGACTTTAATTTTGTTGTCATATCTGTATTTTGAGCATTCTCATCATAACTTTAAAAACTTTCTAATCGCAAGTTCAAATAATCTTTACCTTTTAGTTGAATTTTAATTATTTTTCTTACTTTTGTTATAACGTTATCTAATATGTAATATTATTACGTTTTCATGCGAGTTTTTATTAACTTTTAAATTTATTTAATATTTTTATCTACTATTATTTTTAATATAATATAAATAGATATGTAAGTTTTTAAAATTAAATTAAGTATTTATTTTATTTTTAAACTATTGATTGAAATTCTTAAATTATTTAAATTTTTAATAATATTTTTAAGTTGTGTATACTTACTATATTTTATTTTCTAAAGTAATTCTTAGTATAAATGTCCTCACATTATATCTAATTTATTTTATTATTCAATACTTTAAATTTTTTCTTTTATCTATTTAGACTTTGGTTATATGGTCTTATCCACATGCATGTCATTTCTTATCATATTTAAACAAAAAAATTTCATCTCAAATTTAAATAAGTTTTATCCTTCTTCATTTGTATGATAAAATATTTTGACTTTTTTCTCTATTTGTTCCTTGGTGTTGCTATTATATTAATCAACACGTAATATTATTACATTATCATGTGGCTTTTCATTAGCTTGTTTAAATTTAATATTTATTTTTATCATACTCATTCTAATACAATACAAATAAAAATAAAAATTATTTCAATAGTAACTTTGACTCAATTACTCAAATTTCAAAGTATGATTTTTCTTATCATAATGTTTGAAAAAAGTCTTATCTCAAATTTTTACAACAATAGTTCCACTATCATTCTTTTTACGTAATATTTCTAAAAATAAAAAATTATGAAATGGAAGAAACAAATCATGTGATTAGTAAATAATTATTAAAATAGAAATTCTTATTTTTTATGTTTTGGAATCTATTTAGAAATTTGGTCGGTTTTTCGGTCGGTTTTTCGACCAACCGAAGTCGGTCGGTTGGCCGCGGTCTGTTTTGACCGAATTTAAGAGTACAAAAAAATTAAAAGAAAGTCATAAACCAAAATGTACCGATAGTCTAGTGGTAGAATAATATCCTGCCATAGTACAGACACTGGTTCGAGTCTTAAACGGTGTATTTTTTAATTGCATAATTAAAAATACTGACCAACATCGGTAAATTTTTTTGACATATTTTTCTTTTTGGGTCGTTTGTAAAAATTATTGATTTCGGAAATTGCGACAGACTTCGGTCGCTATTTTTTACTGACCAACTTAATTTTGACAGATTAAAGTCAGTCGAAAATAGGCCATTTTTTTCAGTTTTCTGACCGATTTCGGTCGGTATTTCTAGACGATTTTAGGCAGTTTTCTAGTAGTGATATG